CTTATCGTATGTACCGTCCACGTAAAAGTTGCAGAAAATGCAGAGAATGTAAAAATATAAAAAAAAATGTTTTCGACTCTACATAACTTATGATTTGTTCATAAACTCGTATGTACTTATATTCTGATTAAAATAACAGAGCGAACTTTAATTACTCTCCGGTAGTTCTGTCACTAAAATGCTTGAATATTATTTTTAAAACGTTTCATTTGTTTCTATACGAATTCATTTGTTTATCGGAAATTGATTGCTGAGAGGACAGTATAGCCTCAAACGGAGGACCTTGAAATGTCGAGATATCAAACTATTCAGTTTATACAACGTTCGCCTATGTAATAATATAAATAAGCCATGCATCGACATTTATCGTAGCTTGTTAATCTGAAAATAACTATTTATAAAACAAAAGTTTCCTTTCCATAATTAGTAAAACGGCTTTTCCTCCCAACTTTACTATTCGAAAATTCTTTATAAGTTATTTAGGTAATTTGACACAATATAAATCAGCACATGGGCCAGTGTGCTGGACTTGTACGCGGATGGTTCATAGGAACGAATCCCGATCGAATCTAAACTTTTTTTATTGCTTTCAGTTTTAAATATTTTAAACATTATTATTATTATTATTATTGTTGTATCTTTTGTTGACTCTGTATTTGGTTCGTGCGGGTATTAGCACGTTAAAATAAAGAATTAAATTATTTTAGACTTACTGCCTTACCTTGCTGTATTTGCTTTAAAAATATTGAGTTTAAATCTTAAAGTTATATGTTTAACCGGAAACTTCTAAACAGCGCAATTATTTCTGTTGATGGCGATTGTTTTTAAAGCGGTAAGTGTAACTGCGATTATATGATTTTGTGTCTCTTGGAGGGGAGAATTTAGGAGAAACTCCTGTGTTTTCAGCCACGATTTATTAGTTACTTCGAGTAGAATTTACGTTTCCTTCTTGTGGTCATAAAAATGATGAATTTGTTGAGTGGTTGAAGGGGCGTTGAGGAAAATGAGGGGGTTATTAGGGTGCGCTCAGCTGGCGAATTATTCGAGTGCACCGAGATTCTATTGTGTATTGTTATGGGGTGTTTTACCTGAGGAACGTTTCGATTATTTCCGCCTCTAAAATACGCTGTTTCCTGTAATTTTCGAAAACTGATAAGGAAAAATCGGTTGTTGGCAGCTGGCTATACAAGCCCTTCCATAGATGACGAGTGTTTAAAACTATTTTTGTTCTGCGTCCTGCCACATAGAGTCGTAAGCATAACGAGCATTCGAACAGCATAAAGAGACATCCGGTTTAAACGATCTTTTTTCCGCAAGAACGTTTAATGGCCAATTTCATCCGGATGCTTCCGGATGTATAATGAGGGTTGCAAGAATTTTAAATTAGTAATTATGCTGTGAGTGGTTTATTATGGGTACAGTTTCCTTTAGTACAGATTCTTTATCCGTTATATTTGTCCGTTAGATTTAACCTTGAACATTAGCATCGTCGCCATATTTCATACAAAATGTATAGGCATGTTTATGAAGTATGAAATTGATTGTTATCATCTCCAGTAGTTTATTAGTTGTAGTTATTAACGAAAAGTTTAATATACTGTGGTTTTCGCGGGCGCCATGTTGTTTGACATCCTACAAAAAAATTACATTAGAAAATGTTGTCAGTTTAAAACAAAAAATTACACCAGATTTTAAGCGTTGTTCGAAAGTTCGCAGGCTTGTATTATTCTTAAGAAAAAGGCAAAGAAACATTTAGAGTGACCTTTTTGCCAACTAACTAACTCATACTTGTTTGAACAACTTACTCTGGTATGCCTCGTGTCCTAACACCATACCACGAAGGCGTACAGGAAACGTGGAAGTAAAATTTTACGAATTCGGTACTGTTTGGAAATGAATGACCAGTTTATAGTTCTGGCTGTCCCCGGCTGAAAGCCCCCAGGTACCCATGAATGGGTTGGACTGTCCTTCTTATCCTTGTGCCCTTGCCAAGCGTCGAACCTTGGTCGTCCAGCCTGTAGTCAGCCACATGTACGAAGTTCCTATAAAACGAAAGTTGTTTGTTTGTCGATATATTAGCATGACACGTGTATATAGCTCAGTGCTTCACGTGAGGAATTCCCTGGATATTTCATTTGAATTCTGTGTCTCATTTACAAAATATTTTCCTTCGTCCCACAGCCACTGTTATTGTTCGGAACAAGAGTTTAAATTTGCTGGAATTAACGAACATTGCGTGGCAACCAAGTATAATTGTGAATAATAATGCAGAACAGGATCAAGCCATATTTTGCTGCTTTACTAAAAGGTGTAACAATTACTGAGGCAGGGCGATAATTTTAACCGTACACCCATGTTAGCCCCGCCAAAACGGCTAACATGAACGCTTCGTCATCCAAACCAGTAATTACTCTGTTATAGGAGTTTTTTCATTGCCACAGAATGGATCAGATAACAATTTGTTTTACTGGAATTTAGAAATTCTCTCAAAAATTTTGAGTAAAGTTTTCTCGAATCGTTCTTTAACTTTGTTGGTTTCTTTCAGCGTAAATACGTCCAACTCAGCTCCTGTCAGTTGCCTACATGACTCTGCAGTAGAATATCTTTCGATCCTTCTAGCATCTTTGATATTAACTCGAAGGCAATTTTCCTTTCCGTTATATGGGAATTCGTCGTTGTTTGGATTGGTGTTCATTTTTGACGTTTCCCATTAAAGCTGTGACAGGTGTTTTTTCTTCATTGTCTGGGTTTATCGTTCTGTATGCACACGGCTTGCCTTTACTTGATTGACGGACTGCTTATGTAAACACTATCATCAGAATTTGGGGTTCACCAGAATGATGGCTGACAGGTGACAAGGCTTCAATTTCCCGTGTAAGTAAGAAAAAGTGCTCCTGCTGTTTTTATTTGGAAACGCAGAGCAGCCACTGGCGGCGTTCAAAATTATATAGGCGTACAAGCCATTTTACTTTAAATGTCAACAGACTCTTGTTGTCAGTAAGACTTCATTATCCTAGTCTCCGTAACTTTATAAGGAATGATGGGTTTACAGTACTCTCATGTCCTTGCATATCACCTTTAATAAATTTTGAATCAATTACGAACATGCAACTAGATGTCACCTCCATCTTGAGAAGCTAATAGTATTGAAAGTGGTAATGAATTTTACACCTTTTAAGTTCCATTTTAATATTATCATCCCACCGACACTTAAGTTTTTCAAGTTGAGTTAAGGTTTTACAAACAAAACTGCATACGGTTTTATCATCTCTTCAGATTATGCTACATTCCATGCTCATCTCATTTACTTTGGTTTTATCATCTTAATAATATTTGGTGAAGATGTTTCTAATTCTGTCCCGGAGACCAGCTGTTCTCATGATTCTTTCCTCGTCCTTTCCAGTTCATTATCCAGTAGACATAATTATCATATCAGTCAGTGCTATAAAATCTTAGCTATTAACAGTGTTATAAATAAATAAATAAATAAACAGGGTTCACATGTTCTCAGCACCTTTTTTCGCTAACAGGCAATAACTTATAATTGTGGTGGTTCAGTTGAAGCCCGCTAATCGTGAGTCCTTATACATTTATGGATGAACGTCTTTAAATAGGAAACGATAACATTCTACAGAATCCATACCTGAGGTAGGCCTACGAAGTAAAGATGAACATTCCCACATTTATAAGCGTACAGCTTAAAAGCGTAAAAATTAGAGAAAATGTATTATCATTATTATTGTTGTTGTTGTTGACGATGGCAATGTATTTTTAAATTGTAAAAATATGTTGTTCTGTTTGATACATGTGAACAGTTTTAGGGCTTCCTGTGGCTAGAATGCACGAAGGGCCCTCATACATAATGACCATCCGCTTTCAGGTGCGGTACTGGGGTGTGTAAGCCGATTTCCAGTTAATTGCATCTCAGCAGGGGGTAACAGGGGCTGTGTCTGCGTCCAACTAGGTTTTCGTTCTCCGTCCGTTTCTTTCAGCCCTAGTGAATAAGGAATAATCTCCTCTATATAATGCAACGAGTAATAAACGATTATAAATTTAGTTTGTTGCTGGAATTAATGTAGTGTTAGGTACGTCGTGTTCCTGGACATGTCTGTCAATGTATTATTTATTATATTTTCTCTGAGTAATGAAAGCTTTTGCTAACCGAATTAACTAAATTATTTCTTCAGATTGTGTTAAAATTTTTATTACCTGAATTTCTAAAATAGCTTAGGTTTCTTGGTGTGTGAGATGAATATGACATGAAGTCGCTGAGTCTTGGGTGAAAGGATTTTTTTTAATTTTCTCTTGAAGAAGGTTATTGACATTTGACTTCGTCCAAATAATTTTAAAGGCGATTGGAGGTTTACTTTCTTGATGGAACGAAGTTATTATATTGTGGGCTTTTACTTCCAACGTTTTATGTTTCCGTTTTGAACATTGGGCTGTAATATTGTGTACTACGCTTCTAGACATCCTTTTCCATTTGGACGCAGGTTTTAAGTTTTGCATAAACAGTATTTTTCAAATAGGCCTAGGAGCACCTGCTCACTAAACGTACCAGCCCTTGTTTGTTGTCTAATATTTCCACATAGCTTACGTCGTTCGAGAATGTTTGATAGCGGTTATAGTTTTTCTCGTTTGTCGTTGTGATACAAAATGTAAGTAATTGTATTATTGCAGCTGTATCCCATTATTGCAGTTGACGCATTGTTTGAAATCGGAACGGCAGAAATTTCGGCTGTTCAGTCGCTCGATGAGCACTTATCAAAGGCAAATATTTCCTGCGCCCCGAAATTTCGTTACCAGTGTACAGTCGTCTTATCCCGTACCTCTATTTGCTTGTCAGGTTGCACATCGCGAAATGCTGCTCGAACAGCAGTAAATAATTTCGATGCGAAGTAATGTTCTACAATGTTCTGCTCGTGAGTGCATCTTGTTCGTACTTGCACTGCTTCTGCGCAAGCGTGACCTTGGCTCGAGTGTCACGTGGGAGATTGGGAGAGTCCACTACGAGTAAAAGTGTTGAACCTGCTTGCATTTCGAGAGCATCATTTTCTTTAGCAAGAATGGGATTGCTGTATAAATGTTATGGGTAAGTCTTGTAGACCTGTTTCCATTTCTTTCCGTAAAAGCGTGTTACGTCAGCTTTAAAATTAGATATCAATGCATGCTTGCTTATTGGTCTTGCTCTTAACTAGCACTATTTGTTGCACCGTATCTGGACAGCCTTCATTACCCTTCTGTTGTTACGCTGTACTTATAAGATCAGTAGTATTTTGTGGTAAGGCATGATTCAGAATCTGAGACTCTTGTAACATCCACGATGAACAACATTGAGGGAAATAGCATTGAACTGGGTGGACAGTGTAATAAGTAAAGACTGGTCACTGATTTTACTGTTGAGTGCGAGATTATAAAAGCACCTAAAGTTTTGTTTATGTGTGCGTTTGTAGAAATGTATCAACATGTCGACACGAGCGGTGAGAACGTTTGAGGTTATGTTATTAAATAGTAAGTTATCTTTTATCATTGTCAGCGAGAGGTAGTATGCGAGAGCAGTGATTCTAGATTTCTGTCTGATCTTTTTACTTGGTCGAAACACTTCGCATGTAAAATAAATACCAATACTGGCCGGCTTTGAAAGAGCAGAGCGCTCTTTAGATGCTTAATAGGTTCTTACAGGTTTGTTTGTTGAAATGGGTGGTATGTTTTATGGATCATCAAGAGGAAACGGATACACGCCATCCTTTTCATCAGATAGCCCCTTAACTTTAAACGCCGGTATAAGAGAGAAATATCCCTCAATAAATGAAAATATGGCGGTCCATTACAGACCGTATTGAGAAGATCTAATCTCCGTTTAACTGGTGGGTCATAATAGTGGCACATTCCACTGTTACGCAGTATTGCTTCATGACCGTGATAACCATCAACAGATAACATAAGGAGGACCGTATAAAATAGAAGGATCCATCGTTAGGTCTGTTCAGAAAATGCCATGGCAGGGTTTGTAAGGTTGGGTTTACGGGCTAAGCCCCCCGACTCTCTGAAATGACAAGGACCACAGTGGAAGGAGTGTTTTTATGACAAAGTTAGTTAGAAGACAGTGACTTCTTGATGAACGGATAAAAGCTTCAGCGAAGAAATGCATTTAACTTCGAAGTAATAAAATTAAACATTTTGAAAATTGAAACCAGCAGATCCTTGAAGCGGCATTACTCTGAAGTTGTATTAAGGAGGTCCCGTGTTAGAATATAAAACCTGGTGGCTCACTTTTTGTGGTTTTCCTCATTATTACCAGACGAGTGTTGGAATAGTACCCTGAAATAGGTCTTGACCACCTCCTTCCATAGATTTTAGCTGATTACCATTTGTCATAAACTTCCATTCTTATTAGACGCTGTGTGTAGTTGGAACCATGTCGTTATGTAATAATCATTTTAATTTCAGTACCCCTGTACTTTTTTAACTGGGTCTTTAGTTTTTTTTGGGAAGAACATGCCTTGACGGTAGCCAGTCCGAGATCATTTTGATGAGTGTAACGTGTGCACCAAAACAGTGGAAGTAGAAAGAACGCGGGGGGGGGGGGGGGGGGGTAATGGCCTGATACCATTCGAGAGATCGAATCGAGGAAAACGGGGTTGTTGGTTAACCTGAAGAGACCACTTAATATACAGGAGTACATGAGAGTTTGATATTAAAATGGATCTTGAACAGATTGATTTGAAAGTGCGAAGTTGATTAATCTGATTCAGGATAGGGTTCAGGGGCTGGAGTCATGTGATCACTTCATTGAAACTTCGGGTTCCATGAAAGGCGAAGAATATTTTATCTGAGCGACTTCCAGAGTTTTAAGGAATCTGCTCCATGGAGGATGAAAATATGGCCTAACAAACGGATACCTTTGTGCGTTAATTGTATGAACTTTACATGTAACTCATAAGAAGTCTTATTTTTTCATATTAGTTACGCAGGAGGATATAAATTGCAGTCGATTTTAAATTACCACTTTTGCCTAAAAAATTACAGCTAGCAATTCGGAATGCTGTGTGATTTAAAGTCTGAAGGATTTGAGGTTCTCGCCGCGGTGAGTGAAGATGGCTTTCTTCCGGGTTGTTGTACCGTGTAGTCTCATCGCCCTGATGATGGAGGCAGCAAGGACCTCTGAAACGTCGGTAAACTTCTACCAGTCTAGTAATATTACATCACGAATGAATAAAATTTCGATCCAAATCGTTTATGTTTTTCTTTCTAAAACTGATTTAAATTGCTTGCAAAGTTGAGATTATAAGGGACCGTTATGAATCAAAATAAAATCTTCCCTACAATTTTCTGTGTAAATACACAAATCGAAATTTAATTGAAATAATATCAGTAGTTTCGGAGATGAAACATGAATTGTTGATGGACGAATGATACGATCTCCTCATTATAAATGTTAACATTTTGAATATGCTGAAATGCTTTTAGAAATCCAAGAAGTAATAATTTATGACAAAGAGACGAAGTTGGTAACCGAAGTGTTTTGTAGTGGTTAGTGTTGAAATGTTGCTTGAAGTATCTCTGAGCTTGCTTTAAATCCAATCTACCCTATTCCTTTTGTGCCTTTCTCGTACTGAAATCTGGGGGAAAACAACCCGAACCTTACTTTTCTTACGTACGTAGAGCTCCACATGATTCAATACACTGAGGTTCGTTGTCCTGTAATTGATTGAAATGCAGTGGGCTGTTAACAGCTTTAGGGATAGGTCACTGCTCCAGAATGCAAGCGAATTAAATTATTCGTGTCCTTTGAACAGGATTATGTCGGTCACAAGGGACAAGGGAGTAGGTTGGTCTTATTTATATACAATGGTATTACAAGGGGCAGGCTGGACAAGCTTGGAATTCTGTACAACATAACAACCTAATTCACTTTCTTTCTGTTAGCTACTGTACTTAAATTCTGCTTGGGAAAAGATAAGCCCGAGATTACATACAGACAGTTGAAATTGTAACTGGTGTTCCCTTGCAGATTTCAGTCGTTTGATTTTTTTTACACGTGACATGGGGGTATTGTTGAAGAATGGTCGCAGGGTTCGAACCCGGTTTGAAGCATGAATGAAAATCTGAGTTTTTGTGCTTTGTGCTGTCCTATGTAGGCAGATGCATTGCGACTGGTCGATCCCCCAGTTAAGGAGTCCTACAAAATATCAAGGATCCTAATTCTATTTGAATCGGATCGTCACAGTCCTGAATTAGTAAATTTGGGTTGGGGGAAGTTCAAATATTTTCAGTCACACAAGATTCTGCCGTATATTTAGATGTCCGTAGATGAATTCTGGGAGAAATGGCTATCTGTTTTGTTCGTGCGGATGGGCATACAGTCCATATCGAAGAAGTTACAAACGAGAACTGAATTTTGGTAAGGAATAAGAAGGAAGTGTTTTCGCTTCGAAGGACAGAAATGGGAAGTTAAAATTTTATTGAACTTACACATGAAATCTAACAACTCGCTACACGCGGGTTACAAGCTGGCATCTCTTTGTTTTGTGAGACTCGTGAAACTATAATTCCGTACTCAATATGCATATTAGACTGACCAATGTTTCATAGGCCCTTGCTGGGTTACAACCTACAAGAACGCTATATTAATCTTTCCACCTCTTTAAGAAGAAAAGCCTCGAATTATGTTTAGAAGACTTTTTGAAAAGTGCTTATTAAATATTTCGTGTAACATTAACATTATTTTACCCAACACGTAAGAAACAATTTAGATAGGAATTGAATTATGATTTCAAGTTCGTTTACAATATAGATTTTTCCGTACAATATACTAAACTTTTTAGAGGCTAATTTTTAAGCCCAGTTTACATAGCAGAACTGCTTGACGGCCTCATTGAGCGTTCAGCAAGATCGCTTTTCCTAACCACTCGGATTAAAACACTTACGTTTTTATTTGTTATTTATTTGCGTGTACTTTGTAGATCTGATCATTGCAGGGCAAATATTTCTATATCCTGTCAATTAGGGACTTCCGATTTCGTCGGAGGGTGCTCGTGAAAGTTTACATCGTACGTAGGCTCTAGAGGGGGTTAGAGAGGGCAAGGGGGAGACTGCATGACCGAAAATTATAGAATGAACTTAAACATGATCAGTGACGTTCTTAAAGGATCACTCGTATATAATAATGTGGTGTGTTTTAGTGTACAAAAGTATTATGATGATTTAATTACAAATTTAATGAGATGGGTGGGACATATACCTGACATGGGGAAACGAAAAATGCGTTCAGTATTTTGGCTGGAATTCCTGAAGAGATGATACCACTCAAAAAGCCCTAGGCGTAGAGTGTAGTATAATATTAGAATGGATGTTACGGAAATAGGGGTTGGGATTTCTCTGGCGAAGAACAGGGATCGTTGGCGGGCTGTTATGAAGACGGTAAGGAACTAGAATGGTAATGGAGTTATTCTGTGTCTGGTTTGTCGAGAGACATTGACGTGTATTTCAATTTGATGTCACG